TAAATACTGTGGACTTCTGATAGAAAATGGATTTAGATTCCAAAATATCACTTTTACATATGCGCTGGAACAGATTTTTGAACAGCATAAATCACAAAACATTACACTCTTTGTCACCATTCCCCAAAAAAGAAAAGTGAAGAAAGTAACCATTACTGTATTACAAAGCTCTAAGAGTGTGTAAATCAAACTGGACAAGTTTAGTGCAAATTCATCGAGGTTTCTGCTCTTGTTTTGAAACCCCACCACTTTATACCTGAACGACTTTGGCCACGTCTTAGATAATTAGGATTTTAATTGTCATTTTATCAGCTTTGAAATGAAACTCACTTGGACAAAGTGCAGCAATCTTTTGGATTCACACCCCCCTTTGCCTCTGTCAGCACACAGCAACCAGACGGGTTGTCCATTTAAGGGAAAAAGTACAAGCTCCAGCCTATTTCCCTGTGCTCTGGATGTGTTTGTCCCACTCCTTCAGCAAAGCACTCTGTTGTGCCAAAAAGCACTTCCTTCCTTGCAAAAGTCATGCTCACATGACCACATATACTCTCATTTCTGATGAAGGTTTAATTAAGCTTTTAATTGTATTTTCTCTGTATTTCTGAGTGTGTGAAACATTGTGAAGGATGCCACAATCTGTGTAATCTTACAGATCGCCTTTACAGCTACAGTTTGCGTGCTTTACTTGTAGAAAAGGTTTAGAGAGACAGTCCAGACAAAGCAGAATGAGAATCACAGGGCCAAGCCATCTTGAATAAAAAAAAAAAAAGCACAGCTGTCCCAACCTAGGAAGATTTTCTGTGTGCACTTATATTAGTCTTATTTTACTATGATGCTGAGAATAAAAAGTAATATAAAAAGTACAGATTATCTGCAGAAGCAGGAGGAGTAGGTGCAAAGACCCAAAATAAAAGGGAAAATCTAATCAAGTGTCCTAAAATGCAGGATTTTCACAATTTTATGAGGCATCACACATTTTCAACATGATCACAGCTTCCCACTGTCTCTTGTGAACAGAACGCCAGCACAATTGTTTCTGCCTTCACCTCAAAGCATAACTGCAGGGCCATGTTACAAGTTCTAGTGTCACAGCTTGGTACAAATACTGGCTACTAAGTAGAAAAGAGAGGTTAAAAAAAAAGTCTTGATATTTTATGAATTTATTTTTTTCTCAGTTATCCATTATGCTCCAAAATCAAGCCAAGCCTGTCGTCTCCAAATAATTACCAATATTCTGTATAAAATTAGGAAGTGACTTTCAGTAGAAAACAATAAGAGAAAAGAAAACAGAAAATACTAAAAATGAAAACTACCACAAGCTGCAAAGTTTAGACATTTAGGCTTCTTGTAAAGAAGTATGCAAACATTTCTATACAATAGAATATTCTTATTTTATCTTTTTAGCCTTCAATTCTTATCCTAGGTTTTATATACTAAACATTTTGGTGAAATAGGAAGTATGAATAGATGGAGTTCCTTCTCATTTGTAACGTTGGCTTCTACTTTGTAATCGTGCTTCTTCACAAAAATTCACTTTATTTCTCCAATTGTCATTTTAGATATGTAGAAGGACAAAAGCCCTGCCCAAAGTTCAGTTTATACATTTAAATAACAGGGCAACCTGGAATGACAGACCTTGAGGAAAGAAAGAGGAAACTGGAAGAAAAGTAAAATGTCTCTTAGAAAAAAAAATATCTGGACAGAAATAGAGATGATCTGTTTTGTTAAATGCTCTTGAGGGGACTGGAAATTTATCTGCTAAAATTCCTCAATACTAAAACCTGATCTTATTAAATTCAAAGGAAATTTCACTCTGAATTCAGTGGCATAAACCTGACCTTTGACTGGCACAGCTCTGAGGCACATTCTTAATTTTTGCCTGCGGATACCTGAACTGAGTTAGATAAGATTACCAAAAGCCTTGAATTAAGTATGTGTGGAATGTCTGCCAGCAGAAAGATCCTGTATCAGGAGGAGTTTCACTGATACACCTCTATCAGTAGGAAGATTTTATTATGGAAATGGCTACAGTGGTGAAATTGAAACCCAGAGGAGCAAAACAGGGCATGCCAGCAAAACAGAGATTTCCTAATATTCTAATGCTTAGTCCTCAGGCTGCTGCTTCCAGGAAGCACATCCATTTTTTCAGGAATCCTACTTTGGCCGACACAGTTCTATTAATATGAATGTTTAGTCTTTCCATTTGTGTCAGGTGTGACAGTGAGTGGCACTGCAGAAAACTCAGATGTCATGAGGTGTCATCAAGCTCACTGAAATCAGCAGCATAAAGGATGTACCAGTAAACACCAGAGCCAAAGGTCAATCATCATCACATATGAGCAGGAGGAGCTCAGGAAAATAAGGCATATGTAAGCAGGGACAGAACAGTGCTGAGCTTTGAAGATGAATTTCAAGTCTTTGAATTTGATGTTATAAACAATCAGATCCTCTACAGAGAGACTGAAAGACTGAGGTGATGAAAACACTCAGTTAAGATGGTGACTTTAGCTGGGGCTAGATCAGCTAAAATTATAACAAAATTAATATAATAATGAAATAATAATGAAACAATAATACATAATAACTATTACTATGAAAATATTATCACAACACCAAAAAAGCCATGAACATGGTCTGGAAGTGGGTTCACACTGGAAGGAGTGTTTAGCACCAAGAAAGGCACCATCCATTCCACACTTATGTAAATATAAACAAAATCAAAATTGTGCATGAGGGACAAAATAAATGTGTATCCTATGTCTACTTGTCTCCCACAAAAATCACTATATGTATCACCAAAACGTAAATTACTCTTTGATGTGATATAAAATCGACCTTGGTTTCACTGTAGTCATTAGAAGAATTGGCTATCTTTCAAATATGAAACCATCTGTTGAATAGCCACATTACATATTCCACAGATTTGATTGGAAAATCCCAGAGCCTCTTTGTGGACACCTGTTGAAAAGAGTAATTTTAGCCTCCTCCTCCATTTTGAAGTGGAAATAGATGTATGTAAAACCACAACTCCATGTGTTAGAGTTTGAAGTTGCTATTAGACTGTTCAAGTGTCACTTCATTTGACAGTTATCAGGCTAATAATTTGCCTTTTGATTTAAAAAACATGGCTAAAAGTAAATAGTGCAAAAAAAAGGAAGTTGTATAACCACACATTACACTGAGCAACAACTAAACCAAAAAAGGAGTCAATATTGCCATAGCATTTTCCCAGATTTTGTCATCCCTACATTTTCAGAAGGTCAAATTTGTCATTTCTCCACAGTTTAATTTGCCAGATATTTCATTAAAGAGAAGAGGCAGTAATTTTCACTCTAATGTCAAGATGACAAAGACTGTACAAATCACATTGTCTCAGATTTATTTCTCACTGTGTAGCCTTCTTATGAAAAAATAACATTCTCAGGATACGTCCTTATTAAAAAGTAATTCCAAATTTTCCTTTTGAGACTTAGATTTGGGATACCATAGTGCTTTAGTAATTCCACAATAATGATTATCACATTAAATGATAGTTGCCAAAAAGTGTTTCTGTTTAGTGCTTTAGTGTGCCCCTTGCTATGAAATAAAATGGACGCTGTGTAACATTTTACTTTTAAGCATTTCCTTCCATCCTAATACTTAACTTGTTTTATCATTTCACAGGCAGTTGCATTCTCAGTCACCAAGTACAAGTTGCTTCAGAGTATTTTAATTCCATCCAATCCATCCACTGCTAAGATGTGGTATTGATGTCATTTATGTAGTATGCAGGGATGCAACTAGAATTATTTAGCTAAAGCAAGAAAGACATTCTCCTCTCCCTGAGGCAGTCCCAGAGTCCACAGACTAAGTGTCAAACACCACAGACAGTCAGCACAGACTCAGTTAGTTCATTCCTTCTTTAGGACAAATATTTTTTGTCTGAGACAATTCTACATAAATCTGTGAACAGGGTTTTACCACAGGGTAAGTGCATTCTTTAAATCTCTGCCTTCATAACTGAATTAATATTGCATATGAACTTACAATCAGTATGTCTCTTAAGAATTCATGCGCACTGGATTTTTTTTGCTTGCAGAAAACAGCTTTAAAAGAGGTGGCAGGGAGGAGTGGAATTCATTCTCCAATAGATCAAACAGCTTTTGTCAGTTAAGACAAAGTAAATGACACTAAGCAATTCCTTCCCTAAATTACACGGCCACTGTGGGGCCATGGGATATGCATTTCCAACAACAAACAGGCTTCCATCCTGCTGCCAGGGTAAAACATCTGAGAACTGGCTTCTCATTTATTTTGCTGATAGAAACAAGCACTTTAACAACAATGACCCAGCTCAAGCACACTTAGGTACAATGCACATAAGGTCAGTCCTTAGGACAGTTGCATTATGCTGCTAATCAAAGCAGCAGAAATTAATATTCATTCAATGTAAATAAGCACAAGAGCAGCTGTCACAAAGGTAGTGTGAAAGGCACCAGGTGTGTCCTAAAAGTTAGCAGGGAAACAAAAAGTACAAATGCACTGGACCACGAACTGTTTGGTTAATTCTGTTCCTGAATGGCTGTATCCTTTTATTTATCACACAGGTTGTCACTGTTTTTAATAGCTGCTGGACTATCACTGCTCAGAGATGATATGTATTCTTTTATTAAATGTTGATTTGTCTTCTGTCTGCGTGTAAGCAGATATAAACAAGATACACGTCAAAATCTATGCACATTTTTTCATATTACTACTGGCTAGTTCATTATGCTTGTTCTCAGAATTGCAAAAATTATCTAAGCAATGATTTTCTATCATGAAAACATTAAAAAAACCTCTAAAAGTTTTATCCCAGCTTTCATCTATTGACATTTGCAAACCATTCAAAAGATTGTTCAAAGAAGGAAAGAGACAATAGACATTAGAAAAGAAAATTTTTGTAAAAAAAGACACTAGAAAATAAAGGTTATTGTAAAAAAAAAAAAAAAGAAAAGATGGAGTGGTTAAATCAGTCTTACCTGTCAGCAACACGGACCTAGGAATATATCCTTTACACTGCAAGATCACAGTAGCCTGTCCCACAGCACTACCACAGGAGTAAAACGATCCAGCTCAGGAGAACACAAAGACAGAAACTTTCCCCACTTTTCTGGGTCTACCAGCAGTTGAAGTAATGAAGGAAACAAGGTAGAGAGCAGAAGACCGGAGCTGCTTCTCGCAGAAATCCCAGGCAGGAGAAGTAGGAGGTATACTCTGTCTGTGTCTCACCCAGACTTTTGTTTAAAAGTTTTTTCAACTGTTGCTAGGTGGTGTTAGGCTTTGGCAGTTTAGTTCTCAGATTGTATTTCCCCTCTTCTGGTCTCTTCACACAGTGTTACAGCAATGACTTTGTTGAGCTCAGCTTGCTTGTGCTATATTTAACCAGTGTTCTCAGCAAGTCAAGCCTGTCAACAGCTGAGAAGTTTGGAGCAGGCTTTGCTGAGTTCCTCAGCTGCTGAATTATCAGTGGATGTTGCACTGCACAGCCCAGCTACTACATTCACTGAAAGATTGTGGGGAAACTGTCAAATCCTTTTAAGGGCTTCCAGTGACTTCACAGGAGTAATTACTATTTAAAGCACTAAGTACAAGATGTGTATTTAGGCATATTTTTTAGACTGCTAGAGAAAGAATACTTGTGTTCACTGCAGATGAGTTCAATTATTTATACAGTGAGAATTTTCCTAGGACAAGTAGGAAGTTTATAATTTGAAAGGTATGCACTTCACTTGAGGAAAAATTACACGTGGGAAGAAGTTTTTGCAGCATAATTTCTTACAGAGTTTAAACATACTAAGATGACATGGAGAAATTAATGAAAGCTTAGGGTGGAAAGTTTTCACTGTGATATTTATTCCAAAGACAACCTTTTTCTCCCAGACCAAGAGCTTCCTGCAGTTATTCCTACACTGTCCCTCACTGAAGAAAAGGAAAGCCACATGAATCACAGTTGGTTTGACAGGAGTATTCAGAACACATTACTCCAGGGCTGTATGCATTCTGATGTATCCACACTTGCTTCTGGATCTAATTACTATTCCTAATTCTAAGCCACAAGTCTCTTAATCAACAGACCAGCAGTAACATTGGACAGCTTTCAGCCCACAAACTGTCATGATATCAAGACTCAAAGATGTTGCAGATCTCAGATTCTAGAACAAGGTTCTACCATCTCATGGCAGAACAGCCTCTGTAAATGTCTCTGGCAAGGAAAATTCCCTACCCCAACAACTCCATTCTCATCTGAGCAGTACTTTCAGAGTTAAATGCAGAAAGAGCCTCCTTTTGGAAGGCTTTTCTCTAGTGATGATCTGAGGTATTGATCTAGGGCTAGATGAAGAGGCAGGGAAGAAAGACAGGAAAGAAAAAAAGTAAAATGATGCTAAAAAATTTGCTTGTTGATATTTATACGTGAGCACACACCAACCTTGCAGAGAAAAAAAAATATTCAAGCAGGTCATAATTGTACCCTGCAGTGATGCTGGGTCTCTGCAAGGAGTAGGATGGGGAGTGAAAAGGTATCACACTGTGGCAAGTTCAACATGCAGGAGCAGAATTGGCCACAAGGATATGAGATACCAGAGGGTGAGTACAAGCCCTTACGGGAAGCAGCTGTGGGATTAGCTGTAGCCTGGTGCTCTAACCCTGTCTCTGACTTCTGCTTGATCTGTGTCATTATCTAAACAAGCAAGGAACAATGAAAAAATACTTTCATTCCCAAGTTGCTCATAAAGAGAAAATGAAGTAAATATTAGGTATTATGTCAAGTAACTGATATTTAGACATTGATGACACATTTATGAAAGCCCCAAACACTTCCATCATGTCAAATATATTTTGTTTTGGAGACCAAGTAATAATCACTAATTTCCATTTGCATTTCAATATTTGACTTGGACAGAATAGTTAGAAAGTATAAAAAACAGGAAAACTTCAGTTTTTCAAAAACAGTTATTTAGAAGATTGTTTTAGAGACACATAATATATTGGCATAAAGTTTGCTGGTATATGCTTCCACTTTTTGAACTCAAGTGAGATACAGATATCCACATTCTAAAATGAACGTCTAACTTAGCTCCCTCATAAAATTTAGGTGCTCCAACCAGATGAGTAACTTTTTGACTATTCTGGCTTTAAATTCTTGCTCAAAGTGCAGTACTAACAGCACTTTATTCATTCAAGTATAAAAAATCAGGCAAACAAAACAATTAACTTGGCTTATAGGTCTCAGAAAAAAACCAAGTGATTCTCAACATTTCTCTCCCATTAGTTGCTGGCACATTCACTGAGTGGAAAACAATACAACTTCTTAGGAGGCATTCTCCGCTGCCAGCCCTTGTGGGTGAGTTTCAATAGTGACCTGCTGGTGCAAGTCTGCTTATTCTTGAACACTTGCATACTCACTCCCCAGCTGTGCACCATGGATATAATCTTCTAACACCAGGGGAGTTTCAGAAAAAAAATTATGTAAAATAGAATAGATTCGGTTTTGCAAGTGAGTCAGAGAAAATATAAAGACTGGTATGGGAAAGGGTGTAATTAATCAGCAGTACTGGAAGTGTAAAGTTTTTTAACTTTGTGCAGTATGAAAATGGCTCTCATCTAAGTTTTTCCCCTAATGAATGATGAAAAAAAAATTATAAATACACAGGTTGTGGAGGGTGGGAAATAAAAGGAAAAACAAAACTATGAAAAATACTTTTTCGTTTAGCATCCTATGTTAGGTCCTAATATCAATAAAGAGCATCATCCAAAGTCTTAGTGACATCCTCCAACTATGTCTAAAAAGCAACTTCCTTATAATTTCTGATAATTATGTCATCTCTTAGTCAAGCAACCAAGATAATGGAGTCCAAAGTAAATAATTCTAAGAAAATTTGTAATGGAAGCCAAATATCTCAGTATTATTTCTGTCAAACCACCAAAGGCCAGAGCAATGCAAAAAAAGGGAACAAAATGTGGCACTAGAGAGAGAAGAAGAGCAGCAGCAGGACTTGTTGCCATTTTCAAAGGCAATGCTAATCACAAATACAGATGAGGGCCTGTCACTGTTCACACAATTATATTTCTTTGTAGTTACATTGCTAGAAAATGAAAGAAAAATTTTTATGATATGAGCTGTTCTAGAGAAATTCCAGGCTTGAGGCAGAAATTACTGGCAGAAAATCTATGGTTTTTATAGAGAAGATCAAAACAGATGTCTTCTTCTGACCTTACTGGTTTCTTCTGACCTTAAAATATATGCCTGTAAATAAGATTTTTCTGGAACACGTACAATAGTATTACTAAATAACTTTTATTTCAGCCATCCATCACTTTGATGTACAAGTATATCTCATTCTCTTAGTCACAAAGGCATTCAGAGATACAGCCTACTACCTTTGTCCTTTTGAAATATTTTACATCAGCCTTAACTGGACCAATATACTGGAAAAAAAATCTATGTGAATAGAGTTTCTTAACTGTATGTCCTGAAGAGCTCTAGTATGTGTATAATTCTGTGTGAGCAACCACTGTGAGTTCTTCATTAAGCTGCTCTTTAAAATGCATTGAAGTAAGTAATAAATATTTTAGTTTCTAACAAATTATTTTTTCATTTCCTTGAATGTTTTTTGATAACCTGCTTTCATACTTATTGCTCACTTCCATAGATCTCTATTATTTTAGACTATGCTACTACTTTTAGCTTTATTTTGGCTTTACAGTATAACTTCTGCTTCGTTACAATCCGTTGGAAAGGAGGGTGTTGAATAATGTTTTGATTAATAAGATCTTGGCTACACCCCCTCAAATCTGTATTTTGGGAGGGGTAGGTATTGATTTTTTTAGTTTTCCAGATATTATTGTCACCTTATAAAAGCCAACACTGCCTTTTAGATGTTAGGTCTGCTATATTTTCATCTCAGCACCTGCTTTTTTATAACCAAAGAAAGAAACATATTTCTGCATTTAGTTCATAGATTCATTTTAGTTTAGTTTAGTTTAGTTTAGTCTATTTTATAATCCTGCCAAAAAGATCCCCACCACAGTCACAAACCTCCAGGAACACCTGGGATGTTATAGTATTTTCTGTAATAGTTTTATATGCTTTATCAGTGAAATAAAACCAGGGTGTCTTTCATTTCAATTCTTCATATGCTGTCTTGATCTATACATTGTCTTCAAGAAATATTTTTTCCCGTTTCTTAAGTTGTAATTTGAATGAAAGAAACATATTAAAGGACATGTCCATTTCAGTTATTTTATATCTATTTTTCCATTGTACAAATAAAAATATTGGCACCCTATAAGGTGTCTTCGAATGAAGTGAGGTGCAGATCAAATATGAGGCAGTTAGATATACAGCCACATCAAGAACATCAGATGGCCCATTGGACTTAGGCAAAACCCTGTCACCAAAAAGGACAGAAAAAATAGTGATAACTTTAGAATCACATTTGAACACTTCTGAATCCAAAGCCCCAGAACCTGGCTCTCACTACAATTGGGTCAAGAGACAGCAGGAAGCACCAGTCTGTAGGAAAGTGTCAAATCAGACCTGGAAATGGAGTAAATCATCTTATTAGCCTCACTGCCACACCCCAGGAGTGGTATGCAACTTGCCCAAAAACTGAGGTAAAAATGAGCTGAAAATGGACTATTTGCTTTTAAAGGCCAGAATAAACTATTTTCATAAACTAATAGCCTCCTACGCAGGAAAGATTGGGGAATTTTCTTCATGCAAAACAGCAAGTTGCAGCAAATTGAAGCACATCTTTGAAAAAGACTACAAATCAAACATGGATAATTTGCCACAGCTATGTATAAGTCCAAGAGTAAATTATGCTTCCTGTTTCAAGCAATCCCAACCTTTGCAATTTATTGCAGTTTGATGCTGGCTGACTTGAGCTCCTACACCATGATGGTTAGTCAGTGAAACCTCTCTCAATTTGTTCAATTCCAAATAAGTTGATGTGGTTATTAACAACCTTGAAGAGGAAATGTCTTTACCAGCCCCCCTGCCCCGAGCCATACAAATTAATAATTTTCAAGCAAAATTACGCACTCCAAGGTGAAACATGGTGTGTAAACTAACGACATTACAAAGAATATTTTCTCCGAACAAAACAGATCATCTGAATTTGTTACTGAAGCTGTGACACCTAAGGGCCAGCTCCCCAAGAAGGGTGGCTGTGTCCTTGTCAGCAGCGCCAAGCACTGCTGGACGCGCAGCCTCGCCGGCCATCCCCAAGAGCACAGTGCCACCTACCAGCGCCAGGGTTAACTCATCGCCGACCAGAGGGAGTTCTGTTCTCTTCACCCAATTCTGCACCATCCCTTGCTTCCCTGCTTGGTCTTCTGTGGGCTAG